CTGAGGCACGAGAATTGCTTGAACCCAGGAGGCGGAGGTTGCAATGAGCCAAGATCACACCATTACACTGCAGCCTCGGTGACAGAGCAAGATTGTCTAAAAAATCCCAAACAAACAAACAAACAAACAAACAAAAAAACTACTCTCTAACTTAAAATGAAAAGACAGAACCCTGCCCTCATAAATTTCAGTGCGCAGGGAACACTGTTATAGGCTGGGGAGGAAGAGGACACAGCTGGGTGGCTGCTGGGTCTCCTGAGTCACATACCAAAAGCTTCTGGGCCATCTTTGATGTTCCACCCAGACTGCTTTGAAACTGGGCTTATAATAACACCTTATGTTTTCAATCAAGCCAGGTCTTTTACAATTGGAAATAAATAAAAATAATTTCTTTTCATTTTTGTCCTTCAGATTGAAAAACAACTCAACTCAGAGTCGCTGTTGCAGTGGACTAATCCCAGCACCATGGCCAATGCCAAGGTCAAACTCTCCATTCCAAAATTTAAGGTGGAAAAGATGATTGATCCCAAGGCTAGTCTGGAAAATCTAGGGCTGAAACATATCTTCAGTGAAGACACATCTGATTTCTCTGGAATGTCAGAGACCAAGGGAGTGGCCCTATCAAATGTTATCCACAAAGTGCGCTTAGAAATCACTGAAGATGGTGGGGATTCCATAGAGGTGCCAGGAGCACGGATCCTACAGCACAAGGATGAATTGAATGCCGACCATCCCTTTATTTACATCATCAGGCACAACAAAACTCGAAACATCATTTTCTTTGGCAAATTCTGTTCTCCTTAAGTGGCATAGCCCACGTTAAGTCCCCCCTGACTCTTCTGTGGATGCCGATTTCTGTAAACTTTGCATCCAGAGATTCATTTTCTAGATACAATATCTATAACTGCTGGATCAGGAAGCCACCAGTACTTGTCACATGTAGCCTTCACACAGATAGACCTTTTTGTCCCAATTCTATCTTTTGTTTCCTTTTTTCCCACAAGACAATGACATATGCTTTTAATGAAAAGGAATCACCTTAGAGGAAAAACATTTATTCATTATTTGTCAAATTGTCTGGGGTAGTTGGCAGAAATACAGTCTCCACAAAGAAAATTCCTTTAAGGAAGATTTGGAAGCTCTTCTTCCCAGCACTATGCCTTCCTTCTTTGGGATAGAGAATGTTCCAGACATTCTCGCTTCCCTGAGAGACTGAGGAAAGTGTGGTGCATGGGAACCACGAAACTGCCCTGGCTCCAGTGAAACGTGGGCACATGCTCAGGCTACTATAGGTCCAGAAGCCCTTATGTTAAACCCTGGCAGGCAGGTGTTTATTCAAATTCTGAATTTTGGGGATTTTCAAAAGATAATATTTTACACACACTGTATGTTATAGAACTTCATGGCTCAGATCTGGGGCAGTACCGTATAAATCAACACCTTAATATGCTGTGACAAAATGTAGACTATTCAGAAAAACGGATACCTAAAGACTAGCTCATAAGGGGTCAAATGTTGCTGGCAAATGCGTATGCCACCAACTTACAAAAACACTTTGTTCGCAGAACTCTTCAGATTGTGGAATGTTGGATAAGGAATTATAGACCTCTAGTAGCTGAAATGCAAGACCCCAAGAGGAAGTTCAGATTTTAATATAAATTCACTTTCATTTTTGATAGCTGTCCCACCTGGTCATTTGTTTGGCACTAGACTGGTGGCAGGGGCTTCTAACTGACTCGCACGGGGATTCTCACAATAGCCAATATCAGAATTTGTGTTGAAGGAACTTGTCTCTTCGTCTAATGTGATAGTGGGAAAAGGAGAGGAAACTACTGCCATTAGAAAATATAAGTAAAGCGATTAAAATGCTCACATTACCTTGACACATAGTTTTTCAGTCTATGGGTTTAGTTCTTTAGATGGCAAGCATGTAACTTATATTAATAGTAATTTGTAAAGTTGGTTGGATAAACTGTCTATGTTGCAGGTTCATGGATTACTTCTCTATGAAAAATATATATTTACTGAAGATTTTGTGACATTCCTTCTCCCATCTCTTCCTTGCCATGCATTGTAAATAGGTTCTTCTTGTTCTGAGGTTCAATATTGAATTTCTCCTATGCTATTAACAATAAAATATTATTGAACTACATGTCTTTTTTTTTTTTTTTTTCCCATTAAGTTAGACTATTTTGAAATAGAACGAAGCCATCCGTTTACAAAAGCATCCCTGAGGCAGGCAGATCACAAGGTCAAGAGATTGAGACCATCCTGGCCAACATGGTGAAACTCTGTCTCTACTGGAAATACAAACATTAGCTGGGCATGGTGGCACACACCTGTAGTCCCAGCTACTCGGGAGGCTGAGGGAGGAGAATCGCTTGAACCTGGGACATGGAGGTTGCAGTGCAATCAAAAAACCCAAAACATACAAACAAACAAACAAACAAAAAACCAAAAAAACAAAACAAAAAACAAACCCCCCAAAACCCCAAAAGCATCCCCTGTATGTAAAACGCTCTTTTGAAGATTGAGGCAGACTAAAAAGAAATAAGAATAATTACTTCCTCTTTTCCCTTGTTTTCCTTTCTTCCTAGCCACCAGCTCTCACTTCTTCCTCCCACACTGCTTTCATCCTAGGGAGTAAAAGACCAGGCCAGTGCTAGAATGACTCTCAACTGCATAATGTCTATAATGGAATCAGAGACCTTGCAGCAGGACACAGAGATCTTCCCAGCCCTTTTCACTCTAAAGTCGCCCTCAAAAGTCATTTTATTGGGTACACCGTATGTGCTTAAAACATTGTTTCTTCTTATGAAGAATGTTTTTCTCCATGCCATGCACATTTGATTTAAATTAGTTCTGGTGTCCCTGAACTTAATATTTGACATAGCCTCTTTTCTGTCCCTGTGGTGTGCTTAAACTACACGTGTCTCCTCCTCCAACAAATGATGAGTACAAAAGCTGACAAATGCCCCCACATCCTTAAAAGATTATTTGTGCAGGATTGCTGGGGGTGGTCAAAGCCAGATTTTGCCCTCTTAGTTCATCATCCCTCTTGGTATCCAGGCTATGAAATAGAAAATGTGAGATGACTGTGAAAAACGTTAGTGAGTTCTTAGAGGAGGGGAGAGATTAGTGCCTCTTTAAACCAAGAATGCAGGGAGCTTAAAGCGTCTCCTGAAATTTGGAAAACACTGAAAATTTTGGTCATCTTACTTGGGACAGTCTAATTCAGTGATTTTTCAACCAGGGGAAACTCTGCCCCCTAGGGGACATTTTCATTGTCACAACTGCGGGACTGTCATCTAGTGGATAGTCCGGGGGTTTTTATCTAGGATGAGGAGGAAGATGCAAGAGGGTCTGTTTGGAAAGGAAGAATTCAGTGCATTCTGCAAGCACCCTGCCCAGCCCAGCTCACTAGCAAACTGGTCACAGGTATATTATCTCATTTTGTCCTTTCCACAAACCTTTCAGGAGGAAACCATGATCCCATCTTATAAATGAGGACGTTGAGACTGAGACAGAGAATGGATAGACAACCAACTCAAGGTCACAGAGCTAATGCATGTTGCTGGCTATATTTGAACTCATGAAGACTGACTCCAGAGCTGGACTTCTTAACCTCTGTGCTCCATGCCCTCTTCCAACTGACAGCAATACCTGACAGGCGGTCACTGAATGGACCTGAAAGAATTCCTCTCTTCCAGACCTTCTCTATTTATTTGTCTTATCCTGGTAGTCCTTTCCTTGTCAACTAAAACATCCCTAGAGTCAGAGACAGTCCACCAGTAAGGGGCCCAATTACTGCCTTTGCTTATTCTCACAGTGACCCCGGAGTTAAGGGCTATGCCAGTCTATTTTATGAGGAAATATGGGCTCAGAAGAATTGGATAATGCATCCGAATGGGTAAATAGCAGGCCTTGGATTTGTGAACATTATTACTATGAAACCATATTAGTTATTTCCTTACTGATGAATATTAGTTATTTCCTTACTGATGAATATTCAGTTAGTTTCTAGTTTTTCTGTTATAAATAATATTACCATGGACATTTCTATACTTAATCATCTGTTATTATTATTATTATTATTATTATTTTTGAGGCAAAGTCTCTTTCTGTTGCCCAGGCTGGAGTGCAGTGGTGCAACCTTGGCTCACTACAACTTCCCTCCCTCTTGGGTTCAAGTGATTCTCATGCCTCAGCCTCCAGAGTAGCTGGAACTACAGGCATGTGCCACCTCGCCTGGCTAATTTTTGTATTTTTAGTAGAGATGGGGTTTCACCATGTTGGCCGGGCTGGTCTAGAACTCCCGACCTCAGGTGATCTGCCTGCCTTGGCTTCCCAAAGTCCTGGGATTACAGGTATGAGCCACTATCTCATTAAGATTTCTAAAATCTTTGTGATTGATATGTTGTGAATATATCACAATTTATTCATTCTACTCTTGATGGACATTTAGGTATTTCCAGGTTTGGGCTGTTACAAATAGTACTATTATGAATATTCTAGTACATGTTTTTTGGTGAAGTGTGTGCATTCCTGATGTTACATATGTAGCATATGTACGTACATGTACACACTTACCTAGGAATGGGATTGGTGACATTTATTTGCAAATAGTTAGCTTTGGTAGAGAATGTCAAACAGTTTTCCAAAGTGGTTTTCCCAGTGCCTCTCTCTCTTTCATTATGATTGTATAATAATTATGAGTGATTACTTTTTCCAGCTATGACTCCTACCATCACCACTGCCATTCTTGGAGTAATTATTATGAGCCGGGCACTTTGCTAGGCATGACATACGTTGTAATTCAGCTTCCACAGCAACCCTGTGGGGGCACCATTTGAGTTGAAAGGTGCTAAAGTTCAGACATGTGACACAAAAAAGCTTGCTGAGCACAGATGACTACTGAGTTGTATGGTTAGGACTTAAACCCGAGCTCTCTGACTCCACAGTCTATACTTTCAATCACTATGATCTGATTATATTACATTTACTTGTATTTGACCATAAAAAAGAATTAAATCATGTCATTTGCAGCAACATGGGTGGAACTGAAGGTCATTATCTGAAGTAAAATAAGACAGATTAATTATCTTAGGTGAAATAACCCACATAAAAATACAAATATCAAATGTTCTCGCTTATATGTGAGAGCTATAAAATTTGATCACATGGAGGTAGAGTGTGGAAAGATAGAGAACAGAGAGTGGCAGGGATGAGCTGGGGGTGGGAAGGAAGATGAAGAAAAGTGGCTTGAAGAGTACAAATATATACTGAGATAGGAGGAATAGATTCAATGTTTGATTTTGGAGTAGGGTGACTGTACTTAACAAAAATATATTGCACTTGGGTGGTGGACATCCACATACTCTGACTTGATCACTACACATTATACACATGGAATAAAATTTCATGTGTGGCCACACATTTTTACAAATAAAAAAACCAAAGGGACCTGAAGTCCCTTTAGTCTCTTTATTGTGGGCTGCTTTGCATCAATAAATTAATGACTCAGGAAAAAACAAAACAAAAAGCTTCAAGGGCAGATTTTCCTCCATGTTAAAAATGAAATGTTATGTTGAATAGAAGACAAATGAATGTAGATAAAAATAAAAGTTAAATGTTTACATAATAAGTAAACATTCCATAAATATTTACTTTTCAAATATGTCTGGTTAAATGTAATTTTTGGAAAATTCTGTTTCTTTCTCAGGAGTCCTATTCGGTCAACTGTACGGCATTTGTGATTTATACCATATAAAAAAGACTTCCCTTCTAAGTTTTAGCTGTTGGACTAGAAACCACTAGCACAACATTCTTACCCTCAACCCCACCCTACAGTCATGGAAGATTTAGGCGGTGGGCGTTTCCCTGTTCTTTTGTCCTTGTCACCATCCTCTGCCCAGACAATAACAGCTGCTTGAGTTTGTGAAAGCTTTTTGAGAAAACAGATCAAACTGTTTCACTAACAGCAAATGACTATTCCTTTCCCAAGTCCTGAAACAGACAAAGGAAATGGCATTATTCTCCATTAGAGATGAGATAGATACAGACGTGTCCCTGGAACTTCTGACCGCATTTGAGGAGTTTTGCCAGTTCCATGTGGCCTGAAATGACAGCCCTCCCTGTCTCTATCACAGGCTGCTTTGCACTTCTCACATCTCCTGGGACAGGATCTATCACATAGTAAAATAAATACCGAGGCATATTTTCAACGGATGGGAAATAGAGTTTGAATGGGCAGGTGATCTATGTGTTTGTGTTGGTTGCCCCTTGCATCTAATGAGGGCTTCTCTGATGACGTAAAACAAGATCGTCTCATGTTTCTGAAAGTGTGTCTGGAGGAACAGTAGTTGTGTAGGGTATGAGAAGCTGCTATGAAATTGGAGTCCATGGTTGAAAAATCTCGAAAAAGCTGTTTTGAACAAAATTAAACAGGTTCTGCAGTACTCTTCAAGCTTTCAAGAAGTTGATGTGGCCGGGCGCAGTGGCTCACGCCTGTAATCCCAGCACTTTGGGAGGCCAAGGCAAGTGGGTCACCTGAGGTCAGGAGTTCGAGTCCAGCCTGGCCAATATGGTGAAACCCCTTCTCTACTAAAAATTAAAAAAAAAAAATTAGCTGGGAGGCTGAGGCAGGAGAATCAATTGAACTAGGGAGGCAGAGGTTGCAGTGAGCGGAGATAGCACCATTGCACTGCAGCCTGGGCAACAGAGGGAGACCCGCTCTCAAAAAAAAAAAAAAAAAAAAGAAGTTGACATGTTTTCTGAATCTCTGGAGGAGGGTGCAGTGTCTGGCTTCTTAAATTTATACGACCTCTAAACCATTTACATGACCTCTAAACCTGGTAGTCACCCTGCATCTCGGAGGACAATTGTTTCGTAGAGTGAATTTTGGGAAAAGTCAACTTACCTGGGAAATAGACTTAGTAAGAAAAATCAAGATTTTTCCGTTTGCCATGTGGGTGCTGTGGAAAGAACCCTGGTGTGGGAGGAAGCCCTGGATTCCAGCAACCAAGCCACTCCTATCAGTGTCCCAGGTTCTCCCTGTATATGAAGGAGGGAGGGTCTTTATCTCAGTGATTTCTGAGATTCCTCTTGAAGCTAATAGTTCACAGGGCCCAAACAAACAGTCCATCCTGAGCC